AATATGTATTGATAAAGTAATGTGTCCTACTGAATACAGGCAACACCAACGTAAACATCATAATATGTGCCTACGCCCCACAGATAGGGTGCGAAAAACAGGAAAATAAAGAATTTTGGAGGGCCTTTGATTGCGAGAAGCTTAAGATTCCCATAGACGAAAAATGTTTTACTGGAGGTGAATAGACATATTGGTATAGAAAGAGCGGAAATAAAAAGAGTTCATCTAGGTTTGGGGTTGGTAATAATAAGTGATGAAGGAAATAGTGTGATTGACTTTGCAGTGGCATGGGATTTGGCAGTAATTAATACGTTCTTTATGAAGACTGAAGACCAGTATGTTACCGATAGTAGCGAGGCAGGGGAAAGTCGGATAGATTTTGTGCTATGTAGAAGAAGTCAGCTACAAGAGGTTAAGAACAGTAATATGATAAAGATGATAAAGGGTTTGCATGTAGCTAGTAAACACCGACCCGTGATAGTCCGTGATAGTGAATACGGAGATAAAGGTGAGGCAGAAAGTAAAGCAAGAAGGACATTAAAAAGTAAAGGAGTGAAAGTTAAAGGATAAGGACTTGGCAATAGTCTTAAAAGTAGAGTGTTGGAAAAGCTTAAGAAAAAAAGATACGGTAAATGACTGGTGCAAAGCCAACAGTAAAGTTATTCTGGGAGTATGAGAGGAAGTGCTAGAAAAAACATCTGGTAGAAGTGTCTACTAGAGACAAAGAAACTCCGTGGTGGAACAATGAGGTGAAATAGACGATTGGATATAAAAAAGATGCTAAAAAGGGGTACTACAGGTCTAAAAGAAGAAAGATAAGGATATATACAAAGTGGCAAAGAGGTAAGCAAAGCACGCTGTAGCTACTGCGAAGGAAAAATCGTCTGTACAGCTGTATGAAGAGTTGGAAATACCCTATGGGATGTAAAGGTTATACAATATTGCTAAAGCAAGGGAGAAATCATCATAGGACTTGACCCTCGTGCGGAAGATTAAGAATGCAGATAGAAGAGTGATAAGAACCGATGTTAAAATAAAGCAAAGATGGTTTGAGTACTTTACTAAGTTCTATGATTAAAAAAAACAGAGGAGAGACAAAGATCAAATGAGAGTGTTATACCGAAAATTCCTAGAGATGAAGTTGAGGAGTTGGAAGGCTCTAGGGAGGAAAGGGTTTTTTTGTTTGCTATAAATGATGAGCCGGATGTATGAGGAAGAAAAGATGCCCTATGCATGGAGGAACAGTATAATGGTATCATTGTATAAAGATAAAGGAGACATTCACGACTGTATGATAATAAAAATTTAAAAGATAAGAGGGGGATAGAGCAAAGATTAAGGGGAGAGACATCGATAGAAGAAGAACAGTTTAAATTGATACCAGGAAGGAGGACAACGGATGCGTTGTTTGCGTTAAGAGAGTTGATAGAGAAAATACAGCAAGAAGAAAAGAGTAGTCTGAAAACAGAGGTTATGTGGTTGGGAGGAAGAGGAATTTTTAAGGACGTTTGAGAACGTAGAATTGCTTGAAGAAAGCTAGGAAGAGGAGAAAAATTATTAATTTTTTTTTTGGTAATACATAACGAAAAATGGTACTAGATCGAAGAAATTGCCCACAGCCACCACAGGATGGTTGGTTTAACTGGAATCAAATGAGAGGGTTACTTTGTGATTGATAAATCGGGAAATGGCTGAAAGAAGAGATATACAAGAGTGTGATGAGATCTGCATTAGTGTAGAAGATGAAGGTAACTAAAATGAAAATGTTACGGTGGATGTTGGATAAGACTATACGAAACAGGATTAGAAAGGACTTGATTGGGAAAAGAGTCAGAGTGACTACAGTCTCAAAAAAGATTCAAGGGCAAAGTCTGCAGTGGTTTGGCGTTGGTCTGCATTGGTCAGACGTTAAGATGAAAACTATATGGGACGAAGGATGGAGCAGTTAAATGTTGATAGAAGAAGAGGTAGAGAAACACCGAAAAGATGGAAGAACTGTGTAGCAGAAGACTTGAGAGAGAAAGGTTTAGATGAAGAATATCTGATGGACAGAAATGAGTGGCGACAAGGAGTAAGTAACAGCGATCCCTGAAAAGCAATAATCTGAGGAACAAGAAGAAGTAAATCTAGCATAATTTTTAATTTTTCGGAAAATGTTCCATTCACAAGGTTAACAATATTATCTACTAATTTTACTGACACAAAAATTTATCATTTGCCTTTTTAATAAAGTACTTGTGATTTTTAATAATATATAATTTTTATTGATATATGCGAGCTGCTGCTTATACCAGTGACTAATATTAACTCTTTTATTTCAAACACAACACCCTGTATATTATTTAATTTTTAGTTCCCCTAAATATTCTTGATATATTCTATGTACAATATCCTATACATATCTTTACCAATTTGGGAAATATGTGTTGCTAGATTTATGTTAGAAATTTGTTATAACTTTGAGAATGTAAAAATAAATAAAAAATACAATAATATGAATGTAGGGGATGTTTAAACTGCTCACCACTAGAATATTGGCAACATCATAGTCTTTAATAAAAATTTCTTCTAACGTTACTCAACATCTCAGACGTAACCGATCTAAACAAGCGTTATTTTTTTTAGTCACTCAAGTCAAGGGGTTTTTTTGTTTACAATATTTTTCACATTTATATGGAGCCTAATCAGGAGTCAGATAAGGAGATCGCGCTGGATATTCCATCGATCCTCGCCTTCCTCTCATGGAGAGGTACTGCCAAACATTAATTTGGTAATGGCCAAGTGCTCCGTCTTGCTGAAAGTATGTATATCATATTCACTGGAACTTGTGGGTTTGCTGGATCAGGATATAAGTTTGTCAAAGTTGATATGACATTATTGAGAAGTGCTAAAAATCATCGACATTTAATGAAAAACGATTCTATGATCTGATCTCCTACAATTTCTGTTCATACCAGACCTTTTAAGGGTATTGTGTATATTCTTCTCTTAACAATGAGGTTTTTCCCTAGACCAATACCAAAGCATGTTCTAATTGGATTACATTGTTATATAGCATTGCCATTATTTGTTCACAAAAATACGTTCTCCTATCAAAGTCATCTTTCATGAGTTCCTAAGTTGGTATCATTTTATAGAGATGCATTTTATTTTTTATAAATATTCAAATAGTCGATAAATAGCTACCATTAAATATTGGGGCTGTTTTTCTACTTAAATTATGTCGGTTTTCCCCAAACTCAAGCATAATATTCAATTTCGCATTATTACTTATTGTATTGGTAGCTGCTATTATATCTGCCTGACATTTGCAAGCTCGCGTAACTGCTTTTCTATTTTACTAATTGTTTCTTGGGATACAGGCGGTAAAATTGGAAATGTTTTATGAAATACGCATTCAACGTCCATTTGTTTTCTTATATTTTCTCTACATCTAATCATCTGTAGAATTAATATTTTGTGCATTTCTGTTATATGAACTATTGTTTTGATATGCTATTAACGAAATTCAAACAACTGTTACATTCACACGTCTGAGAAAACAATTGGCTAAGGTCAAGTAAATTTTGTTTTAGACTAAAATAAATAAAATAGATTTTAGACTAAAATAAATAAAACTACTATAAAAAAAATAGTACAGTAGCCGGTACTGTAGACTAGCGTGAAGTTTCGTACTATGTCAGTTCCTGTAAATTAATATCCTTGTTATAGATTGTAATGAAATTTAAATTTTTACATGTTGTCTACCACAGTCCACTTCTCGTATAAAGCACTCCTTACGAGTCGCAATAAATAATACAAAGACAGGGGGAGATTGTTTTTTTTTGGGTTTCCAATCTCATTGCACAACGATACCTGAAGAAGAGGATGTAGCCACATCCAACCTCCACGCGTTGCACCGAAAATCAAAAGACCTGACAATCTGAAGGGAATAGTTTGTTACAAAATGAAACTTATATGTTGTTGACAGGCTTGTTTAGCAGCTTATGAAGACCAATACTGGTACTAGGAAGGGCGGCGGGAGCGAGGACTGGAGTTGCCTCACCCCAATAAAAATACCACTCTTAAAGAAGCACAAAGCTCTAACGAGGTTTCATAACAAAGTCATTCGCTTCTACATTCAGCTCATAGGCAATTTGTTCCTGTCATAGACATTTTTAGAGACTTCTGTTTTATCTTTTACAGCTCCTTTGTAACGATAAGACTACCAAAGAGACTTGAGATACTATTATAAAATAATACCTTAATCAACCATGGGAGTGTATAGTCTCTATGCTTTACCTAGCTCAGTCTCTCAAGTGTAAATCAGTCTTGTCTTAAACTATGTATTAAGCAATGAAAACTTAGCTGGTAACAAATAAAACAATGATTTAAATAATCATATTTTTTCAACATAAAACAAAGCAAAAACCACCCTGCCTACAGGTTTACAGGACACAAATTTAAATAATACTTATGGCATATATTTATTTGCTTGCTTCTGTTGCGATGTTGTCTCAAGATTATGTAGGTAGGTCCTGTTGTCGCCTCTAGAGCAAGTGGGTAGGTCTTACAGATAGCTGCGGTTATTACATAAATACCAATAGTGTTGATTTTTATTTAATTAAGAAAATGGATCTTTTATACTGTAAAAAATGTGAACATTTATTGCAGTGGTTTTGAATACATATTATTAAATTAATGAACTAGATCCTCCGTCTTGTAAAAAATATATACTTTGCTTAAATTTTTGTTAGCACATTGGGTTTATTAAGTGTAACACTATATTCGTAAATAAAACAATCGAATTAAAATTATACTTTAAACGTTTATTAATACGAATTTAGATAAAACAAAGGAATCTCCGCGAGTTGGAGACTCTCTTGGCCCGGAAAATCAGCTTGGTGGAGGTCCTGTTGGTTCGGGACCTTCGCTTGGAGGAGGTTCTGGTGGTCCAGTAGGGTGGCTTGGTGGTTCGGGATCATCGCTTGGAGGTGGTTCTGGTTGTCCGGTAGGATTTCTTAGTGGAGGAGGTCCTGTTGGTTCAGGTCTTCGCTTGGGGGAGGTTCTGGTGGTCCAGTAGGGTGACTTGGTGGTTCGGGATCGTCGCTTGGAGGAGGTTCAGGTTGTCCGGTACGATTTTTTAGTGGGGGAGGCCCTGTTGGTTCAGGTCCTTCGCTTGGTGGAGGTTCTGGTGGTCCAGTGGGTGGCTTGGTGGTTCGGGATCGTCGCTTGGAGGAGGTTCTGGTTGCCCGGTAGGATTTCTTAGTGGAGGAGGCCTTGTTGGTTCAGGTCCTTCGCTTGGTGGAGGTTCTGGTGGTCCAGTGGGGTGGCTTGGTGGTTCGGGATCGTCGCTTGGAGGAGGTTCTGGTTGTCCGGTACGATTTCTTAGTGGGGGAGGCCCTGTTGGTTCGGGTACTTCGCTTGGTGGAGGTTCTGGTGGTCCAGTGGGGTGGCTTGGTGGTTCGGGATCGTCGCTTGGAGGAGGTTCTGGTTGCCGGTAGGATTTCTTAGTGGAGGAGGCCTTGTTGGTTCAGGTCCTTCGCTTGGTGGAGGTTCTGGTGGTCCAGTGGGGTGGCTTGGTGGTTGGGGATCGTCGCTTGGAGGAGGTTCTGGTTGTCCGGTACGATTTCTTAGTGGAGGAGGCCCTGTTGGTTCGGGTACTTCGCTTGGTGGAGGTTCTGGTGGTCCAGTGGGGTGGCTTGGTGGTTCGGGATCGTCGCTTGGAGGAGGTTCAGGTTGTTTGGTACGATTTTTTAGTGGGGGAGGCCCTGTTGGTTCAGGTCCTTCGCTTGGTGGAGGTTCTGGTGGTCCAGTGGGGTGGCTTGGTGGTTCGGGATCGTCGCTTGGAGGAGGTTCTGGTTGCCCGGTAGGATTTCTTAGTGGGGGAGGTCCTGTTGGTTCGGGTCCTTCGCTTGGGGGAGGTTCTGGTGGTCCAGTTGGATGGCTTGGTGGCTCGGGATCTTCGCTTGGAGGAGGTTCTGGTGGCCCGGTAGGATTTCTTAGTGGTGCAAATAATATTTTAGCATCTTCGGAGCCAGATAAAATATAATTAAATATGCCATAGCTGTCATCTGAAAAAGTTATATTAAACTATTTTGTAAAAAAAGTTAATTTAAAATCTTAAAATATATAAATAAATGTTAATGTTATTTTTTATCGATTTTTTATTACCAAAAATTGAAGTAAAATACCTGCTATAATTTTTAGTAAAATAATATTAGTGCTTTCTTACCATTTGTGCAACTGGCACCAGCCCAAAGGGCTAGCGTGAAAATAAATATTTTTAACATTTTGTTTGTAGCAAACTGCATGAGAAATTAGATACAGGATTGGTATTTATATAAAAATATAATGCTTATCTAGTACTTGATAAAATTCAAGTACATATTTAAATACCTTTACAGCCAAGATAATATCTGATGCAAATATCTTGACTTTAAAAACTTGTTATCTTAAAACTATCTTAACTTATTATATTCTCTTCGATACCTTCTTAGTTTTACCATTAAGTTTATTATTTTCTATCATTTTTATTTATTGAAAGGTTGCAAGTATTTTTCAACTGTAATTTTTAATTTATTTGTTTTTATTTTTGGTTATTCAAAAACAGATTGTTTAATACCTAATACTTAATTAACTAAATTTGATAATTATTTTAATATATTACTAATTTGTAACCCCATATACAACAATGTATGAGATAGTCAGCAGGTAAACTCTGGAAATTCTAATCTTCGCACGGTATTGGCTCGATATCCTGTCTGTCAGCATTTCGTTCGAACAGGTAGGAATAAAATCGACGAGACACATAACAAATGACACCAAAGGGGACTTAGAAATGTGGCTCTTTTGAGTTTATCAATAAAAATATAAAAGGAACGAGCAGAAAGACAAACTCTGTCTTTGCGCCAAATAAGTCTCGGTGACTCCATTCAGGATCCTACAGGTGAACTTTTAACAAACTAAGGCCGCCTTCGCACAACTTTATATATTGCTACTAGAAGGTTAGTGTCACTTTTATACAAGAGCTTTATGTAGATCAGGACCAAATAAAGCTTCCATCAGGCATTGGCTGAGTACATTCTTATTTAATACCATATTTAATTTTTAATATAGTTTAAACAGTTAAAATTTCTTGGCGGCCGTTTCTGATATTTGAAATCAATGTCACTAAAAATTATTAATATTTTACTTTAATGGAAGAACACATGTCAAATTACGTGTAAGTATATACATATAAAAATAATTATGGCAACATATGTATGTAAAAATTAAGTGCTGCTTTACAACTAAATTCGAAAACATAGAACGGAAACATTAGAAAACAACAACAACATTAGAGAACAATTAAGCCTGCACCGAATAGTGTCCAACTCATAGTCCTTTATGGCATCTAAATCTAGGTTATGAACAAAGATCAGGAAAATATGCGCACTATCTGGGAGAAAAGTGTTTTACGAAAAATTTTTGGATGAGTTGGAGATGATAAAAATCATTTGAAGGAGTCGAACAAATTTAAATACCAGTGAACTGTATGGAAACACAGAAATAAGCAAAATCGTTAAATTAAAAAGGCTTAGATAATTGTGCTACGTGGCAAGAATGCAAGCTGAAAATTGGGTAAAGGACCTACTGTAAGATGAATGTAAAAAAAGAAGAGGGCGTGTACAAAAGAAGTGTCTCGAAGCATGTAAGGAAGATTTACAAAAAATGAGGATAAGAAATTGGAGAGCTGGGCCATGAAGTAAATTATATTAATAAACCGCGTTCGTACTGTTTTTTATATAAATGGTATTCCGTAAAGATTGCAATATACATGCGAAAAAATTTAATTAATTCCAATTATTATGATACAGGTAAAATATCACAGTATTAATTCAAATGAAAAATATATAATATTTCGTTAAATTTATTACTTACTCCAGATTATTTATTATTTAGTTAAGATTATTTAGTACGTTTACAATATAAAACTTATTGGAGATAAAAACAAATTACAATTAGAACTTAGACTCTATAGTATATTTATAAGTTGTTTTCAAAATCAGCAAAAGAGCAAAACTTTAGAGAAAGAAAGTTCTTTTTTTATTATTTTGTATTAAGATGAATTTAAGTAGAAATTTAATCTTAATCTGGGAACCCAGATTCCTATAATCACATCCATCCCTCGTCCACGTTGGAATCTAAAGAAGGCCATTTGGGGCTGCTTTTCTGCGAAGAAGTCAGTATAGCTCTCAAGGATGTAAAGCCGGGTAAAGCCCCAGATTTTGACAATATTCATCCCGAATTCTTAATTAACAGAGGCAAATATGCAAGGGAATTATTGGCCCACTTTTTCACAAATATTATGAAGACCGGTACCATACCACAGGAACTCAAACGGTCGAAGATCATGGCCATTTTAAAATCAGAGAAAGCAAATGATAGCAACCCTAAGAACTACACACCAGTAGCTTTACTGTCGGCAATTTTCAAGTTAATAGAACGACTTATCTATTATACGACAGAATTAGTTCAAAGCTACTTGAATCGATACCGATTGATCAGACCGGTTTTCGACCGAAAAGAAGCTGCGCAGATCAGGTTCTTTCACTTACCACATTTATTGGGACAGGATTCCAGAGAAAACTTTAAACTGCAGCCGCATTCATAGAACTAACAGCGGCCTACGATACAGTTTGGAGAGAAGGCATGATATACAAGCTCCTCCGTACAATCTCCTATAAATCCACCACTAGAACAATCAACAGCATGCTAGCCGACCGAACGATTCAAGTAGTCATGGGAACCGACATCAGCACCCCAAGAAAATTGAAGAATGGACTGCCTCAGGGATTTGTCCTAGCTCCTCTTCTCTTTGCCTGTACATCGCTGATATACCAGAAACCAGATCAAGGAAGTTTAGTTACGCCGATGACTGGGTCCTTTCAACAAGGTGCAAGTCAATTGAACAAACAGAAGAAATCCTTACGACAGACTTACACACAGTGGGAAAATATTTCCGTAAATGGAGGCTCCAACCAAACGCTACCAAAACAGAGGGTTCCAGTTTTCATCTAAATAACAAGCTTGCAGGAAAAACACTGAACGTCCAATTCGAAAACACCACACTGGCCTACAATAAAACACCAAAGTACCTTAGGGTGACTCTTGATAGAACCCTATCTTTCAAGAAACATCCATCAAAAACAGCGGAAAAACTTCAATCCAGAAACAACATCATCTAGAAGCTGTGCGGCACAACATGGGGAGCATCGGTTTCCACGTTGCGAACATCTACCCTGGGCCTTGTCTTCTTAACCGCGGAATACTGCTCTTCAGCCTGACTTAACAGCCCGCTTACACACAAAGTAGATGCCCAATTGAACAATACATTGAGCATGATTGCTGGTGATATCAAATCCACCCCTACGCAATGGCTCCCTGTCCTGAGCCGCATTCCACCACCCAGACTACGGCGTATACACTCCCTCACTAGTGAGTACCAAAAGATACTTAGCAACGAGACCCTGCCAATTCATCAAGATATAGATGCTGCCAACGGTAACCGTTTACGCTCCAGATGACCGCCAATAAAAACAGCACAGATTCCAGTGGAAAATGGACTATGTTGAACAGAATCAGGACCAAACATGGCAGATGCGGTTATATGATGCACAAATGGGGTAAACGACTATCCCCACTCTGTAACTGCGGACAACCACAAACCCTCTGTCACATTACAGAATAGTGTCCCACAAGATCCTATCAAGGCAGCTCAGAGGATTTCCTAATGGCGACTCCAGAGTCGATAGAATATATAAATAAGTTAGATGTTCGTTTGTAAACATATGTGTAATGTTTTATACAAAATATATGTAAATTTAAATGTAAGTGTATCAAGTGCCATACGATAAATAATAAATAAATAAGTAGAAACTGTTTTAATGAAACTTTTTAGTGAATTTGGTTTGAAAATATGATGTAAATATCATTTCTACGTAATATTATTACTCTTAGTTAAAGGTTATTATTTTTTAACCGTTTTCCAGAAACAAATATGATATTAAATAGTAATAGTTTAGAATCTCAAAAGGGGAATTCCAATAATAAAAAATAAGCAAGTAAGTGAAGGTTTCCTATTTGAATACTAAATCAGAGTTATAATTAACTTAAAAGATTGGACTCAAACTAATCATTCAACAAAATCATTATTAAATTTCGTCAAAAAAGTTTTGAATCAATATCATTCCTATAGCGCTCATATAAGAAAATATAAAATAATAAATAAAATAACAAGGGGCGAAAATCCTTATTTTGCAAGCAAACTTGTAAATCGAAATCAAATCAATCGTTTGTGGCAAGGTAAGGATTTCACCTTATAGAAAGAGGTGAGTCTCGAGCTTTTACAGATAGCTGGTGGTATTTGGTATACCATGTTTTCACTCTAAGTGCGGTTTGGTAAAAATTTAAATTGAATATATGAATGTAAATAAATTGTCACCTATTGTAACACAATAAATGTAATTATATATGTATGCATAATTTTTCTGTATATGTTTTTAATTAATCAGAACATGTTTAAATTTTTAACAACATTTGCATTTATTATTTTTTGAGAATATGCCACAATTTAATTTAAAAAACGTTTATTTTTAACGTTTTAATTTCCACTTCGGAAATCGCTCTCAAAATACTTATTTTGAATATTTTGTGTAATTTAAGAACGATTTATATATATATATATATATATATATATATATATATATATATATATACAGATTGAACCAAATTAAAACGGAACATACAATTTAATACATGTGTGTTTGAACGGCATTTGAAATAGTGGACCAATATAAAACTCAGACAAAAATAAATCCATACCTGGGTATAGACATTGTATAAAATATCGTTCAACTATCTGTCTCACAACAATGTTGTTTGCATAAGACGGGTTTGTCTAAGGAAACGATTATAGTTCAGGAAATGAAGCTCGAAAATAGTTAAAACCTCGCAATTTTTTCGTCCTGCATGTATCCATTTGAAATTTTAACAAAAGGTAGGTGATAGCCCAAGGATCAAAATCTATATCGAACCGAAGTGCGCTGAAGGGTTTTAGGGGTGAAAACTACCCCTAATTGTCAAAAATTATAAAATAACATATTAAACCTGAATATGGGTAAGATTTGGTTTGAATTAGTTAAATAATGATTATTTTATACTTTTGAATAGAGTTCCATCATATTTCAACCCTTAAAAAGCAACCCTTGTTAGAGATTAATGTAAAAAAATTACCAATTATAAAAAAATGATTTCGCCCTGGATCGAT